TACCTCATGTTCCATCGCATGCTGTGGAGTAAGTGCCTGTGTTTATTGGCTGTGTGACATTGAGCGAGTCAGGTAACCTTGCTGCCTCAGTTTCCTCATCTTGTCAAGTGGAGATGATAATATCGCATATGATCACAGAGTTGGAGGTTTTAAGAGTTGCTAATGTGCAAATACTAAGTAGCAGTTGGCAGTTTTTGCATAATTACCTTTAATGTGTTCTACTCCCCCAGGATGTAAATTGCAGTCTGTTTTGCTTCCTCCTCTGTCCAGTGCATAGTAGCGTCTCCAAGTCAGTGTTTGTCAGACAGGTGAATGCACTGAGTGCTGGGGGTACAGCCATGGCCATATTTTGGCTGGTCACAGTGCTGCACCCAGAAAATGACTCTTGACAGTAAAGCTCAGAGAGCTCGATGGTTTGCTTTTTCCCTCCTCCCACAGAGAGGTAAGAGCTCCGGTTCCTCCCTAATGAAATCAAAACGTGGAGTCTGCATTTCTCGTCCAGCCTGCCCAACATGGCTCTCTGACCTCCGCTCCTCTTGCAGGAGGAGGGCATTTCTCTAGAGGTTCTTGCCCTCCTTTTTCCCCAGTCATCGCACATGGACCCTTGCCCCCTTTGGTCCTTTCCCCTTGCAGCAGGAGACAGCATGGCCTTTTGAAGGCTATTAGGTCAGCCTGTAGGCCTCACTCACCAGCTGCTTTCTGTCTCTAACCGGACTCTGTCCCGTCTGCTGCAGGACCTTTGCACATGCTCTTCTCAGTTATCTAGAAAGTCTCTCTTATAAGCTATTCATCCTTCAGCTCAGAGTTTGAAAGTCACCTGTTCAGGGACTCTTTCCTGTGCCTGCCCTCCATGCAGCCAGAGCTCTCCCCACCTTGCTGAGCACAGTCTTTAGCACCTGTCATGGGGGATGGGGACAAATGCAACATAACCCTTTAGCGGGGGCCTCTGGAGCTGGGCTACCTGGCTTTCAATCCAGCTCTGTGATTTTTCTAGGTGTGTGACTGATGAAGCAAGTCACTTTATCTCTCAGGCCCCTTGTTTCCTCAGCTGCAAAGTGGGGACAGTGACAGCACCTGCCTCCCAAGACAGTTTCGAGGACCGGAGAAGTCAGTGCATGACCGGGCACCCAGGACAGTCCTGTTACAGTGGTTACTGTTGTCTGTTACAGTGATTGCTGTTGTCAGTGTCCCTGAGGGTGTCACTTCTCAGTGAGATGAGCCTGGGCTCTCTGTGCGCATGCAGTCTGGGTCTGCTCCTCCCACAGTGAAGTGTTCCGCGTTGGCCTTGACCCTTTGTTGACACTCAGCCATTGCTTGTGGAGAGCATGAATGTGTCCCAACCCCATGGTGGCCTGGGATGCTGCATACCCAGGCTCTCACTCTGAGAAAGTCACCTGGTGGAGCAAGCGTCTGGTGGGTGTGGCTCCCACACCTGGTGGGTGTGGAAGCTACCTCTGCATGCTCACACCCACACATCTTCGTCTCAACTGGACAGGAAACCTAGAATAGGGTATTATTTTTATAGCCAAGTAGAAAAAGCGATGAGTTTTAATGTCCCATTAGAAGTCAGCTCCTACTCTCCAGCCTCGCTGCATGGAAAGTAGAATTTTCTTTGAAATATGCATAAGGCAGAAGAATAACCCCATCTGTGCCAGGCGTGGTGTGGTGCTGAGTATGTGCTTGTGTTACTTGGTTTACTCCTCATCTTGGGAGGAGAGGTTGCTGTCCCTGCTCATCAGTGGGGAACCCAAGGCTCATTGCTTGCCCCCAGTTTCGGCAGGCTGCTAGAGTGGAAGAGGCATGGTAGGAATCCCGACTTGGCTCTCCCAACCCAGAGCCCAGAGAAGATGAGCAAAGGTAGGATGTGTGTGTGGAGGGCCGGCAGTGCAGCAGCCCCATGGTCAGGACAGGTGGCCTAAACCTGAGGGCAAGGTTTGTTCCGAGGCTCCACAGGTTGAGGAGGGGACTGTCTGCAGAGGGCGTCCTGCAGTCTCAGGCTGGGCTGAGGCCTTTGTGGAAGAGAGACCGGATCACACCCTTCTGGGGACTGGTGGGCAGCAGCTAGTCAGAACGTGCAGGCATGTGGCCGTGACTCATCTGACACTTCCTTTGTACCAGGGACGGTGTCATGCTTTAAATGCATTTTTCCTCAGTTGACTCCTTAGAGCAACTGCAGGAGGTAGATTCTGACACATCGATTTTACAGTGAGGGCGGAGGCTTACGCAGGTAAAGTCACTTGGTTGGAAACGTGGAACAAGCAAGCCAAGAGGCTGGCATTTAGCCCAGGTCTGCGCCCCTTCAGAGCACACAGGAGTAGCTTCCGTAGGCTGAGGCGAAGAGGGTTGCGATTCAGACTTGTGTCTGGTGTCCCCGGCAGCACCAGAGGCACCGGCCTCCCGGGAACAGCCAACAGCGTCTTTCAGGCACATGCAGGAGTGGAGACCTAGCATCCACAGCCACTTCCTGCCTGCCTAGTCTGCCGCTGCCCTCTGCTCACAGGGCTGTAGGTCTCATTGCCTGCCTGCCACCCTCCACCCTCCCTCAAGGCTGGTTGTGTGTTGGCGCTATAAAGGAATGAGAAACATGCTTCCTACCCTTCAGCGCGCACGTGGTAGGAGAAAACACCCTTGTGCATGCAATATCAAGTAAGACAAAAAAATGACTGGAAGATGCTGCAGAGATACCAAGGGCTGTGGATGGTGAGGGTGGCCTGGGGACAGAGAAAGCACTCTGTGGGAAGCGGTGGACAGGATTTCTGAGACCAGGACAGGGAGGGTGGAGACCTGAGGAGGCCCAGGGCCGTCAAGAGAGCTGCTACTTCCTGAGCACTGCTGTGTGCACCACAGGCATTGTCACCTCAGTCCTCCTACCGACCATGACCCAGGTGGTATCTTCATCTCCATATTGCAGAAGAGGAAACGGAAGTTAGGAAGGTTGGGTAACCTGCCCACGTGAGTAGTATAACCAATGATCTAGACCTGGGTTGTCTGAATTCTGAGTTGTATAGGGAAGCATGGGGAATGAGGTTGGGAAGGCAAATGAATGTTTTCCTTTTTCCAATTTTGGAGATAGGCTTTTACTCTGTCACCAGGCTGGAGTGCAGTGGCAGGATCATGGTTCACTGCAGTCTTGAACTCCTGGGCTCTGGCAGTCCTCCCACCTTAGCCTTCTGAGTAGCTGGGACTATAGGCATGTACCACTGTGCCCAGCTAATTTTTCTATTTTTTTGGTAGAGATGAGGTCTCACTTTGTTATACAGGCTGGTCTTGAACTCCTGGCCTCAAGTGATCCTCGCACCTCACTAGGGTTCTAGGTGTGAGCCACTGTGCCCAGCTGTGATTGTGTCCCTTAATGAGAACCTGCTTTGTGGACCCCCGCCCCTTCGGGCACTCACAGTTGGCGGGGGAAGGGAGTAAGGGAGCAGAAGATGAAATGGAACCAAGAACGAGGTACTAAGATACCACCTGTCCTCCAAGTCACAGCTGGGTCAGGGGAAGCTCGTAGTATGGGCATCTTGGAGGTGCTGTTTGCCTGTGTTTTGAGGGGTGGGTAGGTGCTAGCTATATGGCAAGGCAGAAGCAGGGCAGAGGTATCCTTAGTTGGGGGAGCAGCACCATGCTGCTGGGGGGAGCCTCCATCTCCCTGCTGGAGATGAGCGGGTGGTGGTCTAGCTGACCACTGTTGCTCCCATTTGGGTTCGGAAAGCAGCCTCGTGCTGGGGCCATCGTGTGGTGCCTCATGTTAAGGTGGCTTCTTTGTCTGGGAGGGAGCCTTGTGCTGAGTCTCTCCCTGAGCAGGACTGATGCCAATTGCCAAAACACATGTACTTGGCCAGAGGCTCTGCAGAAACCCTTGTCCGCCACATAGCCTCTGTCTTCACCTGGGCATAGAACATGTGCTTGTACGCCCCTGGCGATCCGCCCACTTCCATATTGGTCCCTGCAGATTGAGGGGATCGTGGTAGAGCGTAGGGTACAGGGGTTCCTATAAGGAACAGAGACTTGGGTTTTTCCCAGACCCTGCTATGGGAGGGTGAGCAGCTGGGCTTCCTGGAAGGCATCTGGGAATGTTGGCGTTAACTGATCTGCGATGAGATGCCTCTGTGGCCCTGATGTCTGATGACACCCCAGCTTGCAGGAGGCTGAGTGGCCAGTCGCCACCAGGTGGCTGAGTCCCTGAACTCGGCTGTTTTGCCTTTTTTATCAATCTGTTTGGGTTTGGGACTTACACTCTTGTTTAGGACCCTCCCTGCCTTCCAGCTGGTCCTCAGAAACTTCTTACTTAGATACGGCTACCTAACCCTGGTGGGGCTCCTGCCTCCTGGTTACCTTCCAGCCCCCCGCAAGATGCATTGGATTTTAAGAATTAAGAAGGACTAGGCATAGCATGCTCTCTAGGGCATCTGACCTGCAAGAGGCTAAACCACCTGCTCAGAGGGTCTATACACCTGGCTTTTCCTGGGAGGGCTTGCTGCTGACCACCTGAAGAAGAGGAACTTTAGAAACCTTGAACTTGCAGGAGCTTTTCTTCTCCAGCCACTTTCCTGTCCCATGTGACACGTGTACCTGTGATGGGAGCATTGCAGCCCGAACTCCTACCTGTGAGGAGTGGCCAGTGCCCAGTTAGGGCCTCTGGTCAGCCTGGAGGACGAAGGACTGACCTTCACCATGAGAACATAAGCTCCTTGAGGGCAGGGTCCCCCCCGTTCCCATACCACCAGGCCTGGTGTTCAGTCATGTTTGCGTGACTGAGTGCACAGGCACCTGCTCTGTCTGATGCCTCAAGCTGCTTCCTCAGGGCGGCTCAATGTTGTACAAAGAGTAAACCTGGGCTTTGCTACTTGCCACCCAGGTAATGGTACAATGGGTGGTTCACCACCCTGAGCCTTGGTTACCCCACATGGTCACTGTCCTGAGGTCCGGGCTGTGGCCCAGAGCGTGTGATTGGGGGAGAGCCTCAACAACTGAGCTAACGCACCATGCCACCTTATGTTCCTCTTCCCCAGACCTTCACAGCCTGGTGCAACTCCCACCTGCGCAAGGCGGGCACGCAGATTGAGAACATCGACGAGGACTTCCGAGATGGGCTCAAGCTCATGCTTCTCCTGGAGGTCATCTCAGGTGAGGCTTTCACCGACGCAGTACACCCTCCTCAGGAACAGGTGCCCTGTCATAGCAGGTCCCCAGATGCTGGCCGCTCTGCTGTCCTGTTTGCTAGGGAGGAGGGTGTGACCTGAGCAGCTACACTAGTACATATCTGGGTGTCGGCCTGTTGGGGCAGGGGCGAGTATCTTGGTGGGAATCTGGGGGCTGAGTTTTGAAGAGCAGAGGAAACTAAATCTCTCTCCCTCACCCCCTCTTTTTCTCTGTGTGCGTCCCAGGGGAGCGGCTACCTAAGCCGGAGCGGGGAAAGATGAGAGTGCACAAAATCAACAACGTGAACAAAGCCCTGGACTTTATTGCCAGCAAAGGTGTCAAGCTGGTCTCCATCGGGGCAGAAGGTGAGCTGGAGTTGGGGCAGCCAGGGTCTAGCTCAGTTTCTGACCTAGGCTCTGAGGCACGACATCTGCATTCTGAACAGAGAAAGTTTTGTTGATGGCAGGCATCGGGGCGCTTAAAGCCCCAATACATATTCAGCAGTGATCACAAAGACTGCCCTTGATACATATGGGGCCTGCAAGCTCCCCTCACTGGCAGAGAAATCCAGGCGGGTGCAGTCCAAAATCAGGGAAGTACGTCTCACCCAGCCCCAAGGGCTGTGGTGGGGGAATGGCCTTGACTCGAACCTGCTCACCCTCACTAGTCCTCCTTGTATCAGGCCCAGCAGACAGTGACAGATCTGTAATGTAGCCTCTCTCCGTGCCAGGAGTGCCATTGCCATTGTGCCCTGCCTGGTGTCTGTGGGCAGGAGGGAACATAGAGGAGAGAAGGGGACCACGGGCCCCACCCATGTCAGGCATCAAGGCAGGGAGTGCACATCCAAAGGTTAGTGTCCGGACTTTGCTCTGGGGCACAGGCTTGGGGAGTGTGGCTTCTCACCACCCCAGGATCCTTCCGTCCCCCATGTGGATAACCAGGACCATAATCCACCACTGCCAGGCCCTCCCACGAGGGCAGCAGACTCGGCAAGGCCGAGGGTTGAGCTCATAGGCGCTGTCAGAGACAAGGTGAAGCCTGATTAAGCCCAGAAGTGCCCCAGCAGCCCGGGCTCACAGCTCCCCTCATTAGTCAGAGCAGGGTTTCTTCAACCTGACATCCATGTTGTCCCAGCTTTTAGAAAAACAAAGAAAACTAATTGCTGTTAATGACAGGGCTCTGAGAGTTTGGCCAAGACTCCAGGCCAGAATGTGTGTACTGAGTTCCAAGACCTTGCCCCACCTAGGACCGCTCTGAGGAGGGTTGCCAAGTGCTACATGCCACAGTTGAGGTGGTTGGTGTTTGTTTAAAAAAAAAAAAAATCAAAACCTAAAAAATTTAATCAGTCCCTGAGATTTTCTGTCCTTGCATGGATCTTTCCTCCTGGCTCTGCTCCAACCTTCTGCTTCCCACAGCTGCATTTATTTTCTCAGACGCTAGTCTGTTAGTACAGAAGGGTTTTGAGGAGAGGCCCGTAGCAGTCATCAGTTTTCATTTGGAGAAAAACTTGGTCTAAAACTATTCTCCATTCATGCCCAAGTTGGTCCATTCCTAATCCCTGTGACCATCGGGCCTTGGGACAAAGCTGGAGGGTAGCCTAATGGAGGCATTCCTCAGGCTTCAGAATACCTGAGAGCCCCAGCCCCCGACCCCCTCCCTGGCCCTCATGACCTGGCAGTCGCAGGAACATGGTTTCCTTGTAGGGGTTCTGAGGGTGGGCAGGATCCGGAGACACAGCTGCAGGTCAGAGGAGCAGCTGGTGGATATGTCATGAGAGATGCAATCTTCCTCTCCTCACAGGGACTTGAAGCCCTCCATGACCAGCTTGCCCCTGTAACCATCTGGGTGTGAGAGGTGCACAGCCTAGGTTTCCTCAGGGGAAAGCCGCTTCACCCCATACTGTGAAGGGACAGGTGGCTCTGCTTGGATTTAGGGTCTGGAGCTCTGAACAAGAGACACTGGGTCCCTCCTCTGCCTCTGGGCAGCAGGCTGAGCATATTTCCTCATCCCGAAACCTGAAAGCTGCTCTCAGCTGTAGGCCTGTGGCTCTGCTGTGGAAGCTTCTCCATTAGGGCTCACAGCGTGTCCCTCTGGTGTGTCCCTGGGGAAGGTGGGCCCCATCCTCTGGATGACCCCTCCACCTGCTTCCCAAGGAAGCCCCCTCGTTTTCTGTGCCCAAGGGTCAGTGAGCAGGGTCTCTTGGAGTGACCCCTCATGGCCTTCTCTGCAGTTAGTTTTGGAGCGTGGCCATTTCCCTGGCGTCTTCCCATGAATGGCCACAGCTTCAGGGCCCTATGTCTGGTGTGTTGAGATACAGGGAGCGTTGCCCCAACATGTCTGGCTGGCGGACTCTGGGGTGAGGAACTGACTTCCCACTTAGCAGAAGACACATGGTTGCCCTGGGCCTTACAGAGCTGGTTTTTCTCTAGGTTGCTGAAGCTAAAAGATGCATAGTTCAAGGCTTTCTTTCCCATTCCCAGAATTCTGAGCGGATGTTTGTTTTCAGGTTGATTAGGAAAGTGTGCAGCCTGGTAGCCTGGCCTCATGCCCTGCTCTCCCATTCCTGACCTAACAGCAGCAGTATGTGTTCCTTTTTTCTTTTTGGTGGAGTCAGAGTCTTACTCTGTTGTCCAGGCTGGAGTGCAGTGGACATGATCATGGCCACCTCAGTCTCAACCTGCTAGGTTCAGTTGATCCTTCTGCCTTAGCCTTCCAAGTAGCTGGAACTACAGGCATGCACCACCATGCCCAGCTAATTTTTTTTTATTTCTTTTTTTTATTGTATTGTAAATTTTTAAAATTTATTTATTGAACTTGATATCTCACCAAGTTGCCCAGGCTAGTGTCGAACCCCTGGGCTCAGGCAGTCCTCTTGCCTCTGCCTCCCAAAGTGCTGAGATTATAGGTGTGAGCCACCGTGCCCAGCAGCACGTGTTCTTCAAGGGACTGTTCCAGGCATCGGGGATCCAGTGGTGGTCAGAGCAGTCCTGCCCTTAGGAAGGCAGACAGTAAACCAACTAATATGTTGTTACAGGTGGTGATGTGTGTGAGGGCAGAGCAGGGGCCAGGGAAAAAGGAACCGAGTTAAGGATGGGGACATTCCTTGGGATGAGCAGTTAAGGAAGCCATTTTCAAGCTAGGTGTGGTGGCTGATACTGTAATTCCAGCACTGTGGGAGGCCAAGGAAGGAGGATTGCTTTAGGCCAGGAGTTCAAGTCCAGTTGAGCAGCATAGCCAGACTCCTTTATTAAAAAAAGGTTGACTGGGCGCGGTGGCTCACACCTATAATCCCAGCACTTTGGGAGGCTGAGGTGAGAGGATTGCCTGAGTCCACAGGTTCAAGACCAGCCTGGGCAAATTGGTGAGACCTCATCTCTACAATAAATCAAAAAATCAGCTGGTCATGCTCGTGCATCTTTAGTTCCAGCTACTTGGAAGGCTGAGGCGGAAGAATCGACTGAGCCCAGCAGTTAGAGGCTGTGGTGACCATGAGCAGCGTGCCTCTGCACTCCAGCCTGGGCAACAGTGTGAGACTACAACTCAAAAAGAAGGGGTGTTTTTTGCAAGTTAACATAAAAGCAAAGCCTTGCAGGATGAGAAGGGTCAGCCATTTGAGGGAAGGAGGGCAGGGTGTACTTTGTGGGTAGACAGAAAGGCATGAGGTCCTTAAGGCAAGAAAAGGCCCGGTTTTCCCAAAGTGGAGGGGGGCAGGGACCTCAGAGCAGGCCTCCCTGTAGGCGGTTGAGGGGTGTGGGTTTCATCTTGGGCATCATGGAGCTTTCAGCAGGGGAATGACACAAGTCTGACGCACCTTTTAAAAATGACCACCCTGGCTGCTGGGGTAGGTAGGAGGCGGCCACGTCACACTGAGGAGATGACAGTGCCTTGGATGAGGGTGGGAGGCAGGGCTGGCAGGACATGGACAGGCTTTCAGCAAACAGTAGTGCCGCTCACATTCACTGTCCAGGAGCATAGAGGGAAAAACAACTATCTTTTGCCTTGAGGGCAGAGCTGGGTGCTCACCCTGTGTCGGGGGCACACCCACAAAGACATGATTAGGCACAGAGCAGTGAGTGTTACGAGGCGGGTGTCACGGGGGCCATGCACCTGGGCTAGATCTAACAGGAAGCAGTCTTTTGAGCAACAAGAGAATGAGCTGGCTGGGGAGCAGGAGGCCTTCGTGACCAGAAGCCTGCAGATGCTCAGCAGAGGAAGGCTTGGAACCGGCTACCCAGAGAGTGACAGGCACACTTTCTCCAAGGAGGGTGGGGGGGGGGCAGGCCTGGGTGGTCCAATGAGAAGATCCTTCAGACCTGATCTGCAGAGGTGTTGGAAGGCCACTTTCATGGTTAACTCAGAACCACTCTGGTTCTAACAGCCTTCTCGCCCTCTGCCCCTTTCCCTATGTGCAGAGATTGTGGATGGCAACGCAAAGATGACGCTGGGAATGATCTGGACCATCATCCTCAGGTTCGCCATCCAGGACATCTCCGTGGAAGGTAAGAGACAGGCAGAGAACCCCCTTTATTCCCCACCCTTGCCCACCTGGGGCAGGCAAGTTAGGCCAGAGTTCCCAGTGTTGTCTTCGTACTTCCCTCCTCTTCCCCACTTCCCTGTGGTCGCTTACAGGGCCTGACCCTTAGTGGGAGTGGTTAGTGCGCTGCAGGTGAGAGGAGGCCCCTGCCCCACAGCTTGCTTGCCTCCTGGCTCTGGTGCCTGCCTAGAGCTCAGCCTCATCTCTGGACCCTCTCTCCACCCTTGTAATGCAGGCAAGGGTGGTTGGCCTCATTTTGCAGTCCAGGAACCCAAGTTACAGAATAGCCAAGTGCTAGAGTTGGGCCTGCGCCGGCTTTCTTTCCACTTGACATCCCCGTCCTTGGACCTGTGTCCCGTGGACCTGGTATCAGCTCAGGTCATACAGGAGTGGATGTTCTCACTTCCGTTCCAAGCCCCTGTGTGCACCACAGGATGCGCAAGGCCACCTGGGCCAGCATGAGGAGGGGCTTCCGGGCACCCAGCGGTAGTGATGACCGGGACACACATGCCCCCTACCCTCGTAGAACTCCCAGTCTGTGAGGACAGCTGAGCTGTCCACTGGGAGCAGAAGGGCTCCTAGCCCTTTCCACGACGGATTTTCACCTCATTCAGAAGAGGCTGAGGCCAGTGGGCTTGTCTAACTGCTGGTGGCGAAAGACAGTCTTAGTGGTCAGGCACGTGGCACAGGTTTCGGTCCTGATACTGCCCCTTCCTGAGGCAGCTCTGGTCATGCGACTCTTTGAGACTATGAGGCTTAAGCTGGCCCTTTGTATTGGCAGTTAGGATTGGCAGAGGCCTGTCCCACTCCAGAATGGGAGTGACTATCATTGCTACTATCACTACTGCTGTTGTTAGGACTAATGTTCTCTCCCCCTAGGTTTTGTTTGAGCCCCAGGCCTGAGACTAAAAGTCCCATCCAACTTGGGCTGAGTTTATTTTTGAGCCAGTGCTCACTGTCCTTGTGTGTTTTGCAGAGACCTCTGCCAAGGAGGGCCTCCTTCTCTGGTGCCAGAGAAAGACGGCCCCATATAAGAACGTCAATGTGCAGAACTTCCACATCAGGTGAGCACCTAGCCGGACCCCCCCCAGCCTCTTCCTGGGACCCAAGATGCTTGTGCTTTTGTCATGGCCTATGAGATGCCAGCCCTCAGTGAGTCCCTCCCCTGCCACTGGCTGTGTAAACCCGTTGGAAGGACTCCTGGTCCTCTCCGAGGAGAAGGAGGCAGTTACCCAGCTATTCTGGGCTGAAGGCAGTAAGGCCTGGCACTCCCGCAGGCAAGGCGACTCTCAGGAACAGCAACAAAGCTCTTCGTTTATTTGGCACTCAAGAGGGATTGATCCTTAGAGCTTCTGGTGACTTTAGTGTTGGGGAAAATGGACTCTGTGACTACTAGGATGAACAGGCCTCAACCTGGCCGTGAGTCTGCTCTCCCTAAGGGTGAGAGGGCATGCAATGTGTGCCATCTCCCCTGCAGTGGCCTTTTCAGTTCAGGAGGGCCTCATATGTGCGGTGCTTAGCAGGTGAACTAACAGGTATAAAGTATTTGTCACATGTCAGGTGCTGGTCTAAGCATTTACTCATTTAATCCTCATAACAACCCTATGAGGAAGGTGGGTACTGCTATTATTCCTATTGTATAGACATGGAAACTGAGGTAGTATGACTTGTTATGGTCGCGCTGTCAGTAAGTGGAAAAGCTAGCCTGTGACCTCAGGCTGCCTGGCTCCAGAGGTTATGCTCAAAACCCCTCTGCCATACTGTCTTCCTACAATGCCTGGCATATGCTAAACCTCAATAAATGAGATATCATCATTGCTGTGATGCCGAGGACCATTCAGCACTCCCATGCCAGTTGAGAGTGTCCTCCTCATAACCTTTGCCTTTCCTTCTGCAGCTGGAAGGATGGTCTTGCCTTCAATGCCCTGATCCACCGACACAGACCAGAGCTGATTGAGTACGACAAGCTGAGAAAGGTATGTCTGGAGTTCCCCTCGATGGCCCACAGACACCGAGTTTGATGCCCCAACTCTGGGTCACCATCCGTGCCCATCCATTGCCAGCTCCAAAGCTGAATTCTGTGCTCAGATGAACAGGCTGGAAGGACCTCGTGCCGACTTTCCCAGACCCTTGCTCCGTGGCTGCCTCTTGCCTCCCTTCCTCGCCTCGGGATTGTCCTGTCTCTCTCCATGGGCATTGCAACCAACCTGGGGTTATTTTAGGGCCTTGTCAGCTATGCCTTCTAACTCCCCTTCCTTAACTTTCTGGATTCTGGACCCATTCCTCCTCTGCCCAAGGAGGGGTAGGGTAGGGATTTTCAAGCTGTTATTGCGGCTAACATCCCCCACACAGGGTCCTAGTTTGCCTGTATCAAGCAAGTGAGACCCAGGCCTTGCTCTCTGGGAGCTCTCGGCATCAAGGGGAAGGCAGGACGTTTGTGTCCAAAGCAGACCAACACACAAGGCCCTTTGCATGTGTGCGGGGCGGGGTGGGGAGCCATGGGCCCCACCAGGGCTGCAGAGGAAGGCTAGGGATCCTGAGCTGGCCAGGAGCGGGCACAAGCCCTGAAGGAGGCAACAGCTTAAAGCCAGGGAGAGCATTCCAGGTGGGAAGCAGTTCCAACCACAGTGAAAGTGAACTGGGCTCTGGAGAGAGTCAGGGTGCAGTGAGCTAAGTAGGGGGAGCCCATGCGGGAGTTTTAGGGATTCTTTAGGGAGACTAGAATTTGGGAACGCTCAGCTCACTCCTGCGCGGCCCCCCCCCCCCCGCTCTCTCAGGTATGGACCAGCCTTCCTGTCAAGGTGAAGATGGGGTTTCAGGACAGGGGGCTCAATTTGGGGCCCGGGAGCCTGGAAATTATACAAAGAGAACGCCACCTGCATTCTTCTGGAGAGAAGGCCCATAGTTTGCCCCAAAAGATTTCAGGAGGTGCTGCTTGGTGGGAGCCGAATTTATACAAGCTGTGCCTGCCTTCTCCCGCACAGCACAAGTGGCTGAGCACTGCCTCGAGAAACCTTCCAGCTCTGCCCCTCCCAGATCCCTCCCTTCCAGGCCAGCCCTGGTTCCTTCCTGTTCCTGCATCCTACCCTGACAAACATCTTCCTATTCCCCACCCGCCTCCTCCTAGGATGACCCAGTCACCAACCTGAACAATGCCTTTGAAGTGGCCGAGAAATACCTCGACATTCCCAAGATGTTAGATGCTGAGGGTAAGTATAACTCTTTTGTTCCATCAACACCATGTTCGGGGGGGGGCGGGGGCTCATATGTCTAGGCCTGGCTTCAGGCGAGGGTCTGTAGGCATGTCAGAGCTTTGGGGAGACCTGGGGAAGCAGACAGTTCACTGGGGACAGTCGTGTCATCCTGGGAGACAAAGTAAGGACAGCCTGAGCCAGCTAGCTGCATTCAGGGAGGGAGGCATGGGGAAGGGGGGCATGAAGGATCAGTTTTCTGGAAGCTGCCACTCACTGGGGCCTGGGGGCAGACTGGCAAGGTGGCAGAGGAGGGCTGACTCCAGGCTTCCTGCGAGCAAGCCAGCCTCTGTCCTTTCTGCCTGCAGCAGGCGTAAAATATGGTGTCCGCCAAAGTGGAGTGTTTTGTTTTTTCCTTTTCCGGCTTTGCTCCACTTTCCAACCATGCACCACCCCCAGCCAGGACCCATGTCTGTGGCCTTGGGTGGCCCTTGGAGTTGACTGTCCAGCAGCCCCTTGAGGCCATTCTCAGAGGAAGTGGCTTCGTTTTAATCTAGTTCCCACAACCTTGGCCTTTCCAGAGACCATGGTGGAGGGAGGGGCTAGGGGTGTGGCTGACCCCACCCAAGTCACCAGGTGTCACTGAATCATCTCTAAGGGCCCCTTCTCCCCGATGTCTTGGGCTCCCAGATGTCTTGGCCTTGGGAGCCCGTGGATCCTGGTGAGTTACACACACCACACCCGCCCCACCCGGGCGGTTTAACCCTTGTTGTTCACTTACAGACATCGTGAATACGGCCCGGCCCGACGAGAAGGCCATAATGACCTATGTGTCCAGCTTCTACCATGCCTTTTCGGGAGCGCAGAAGGTACCGGGCAGGGCCAGGCCGGCCCTCCTCGCCGCCACTGCCCAATGCCGCTGCTGCCTCTCGCCTCCCATGCTCACCTCAGTTCTCTTGCAGACGGCAGTGGCCTCTCTCCAACTGGAAGCCACTCCCCCACTCCCTGCACTGCCACACAGTCTTTGCCCACAGCATGTGCTGAGCACCTGACCTGTGCCAGACCCTGAGGACACAGTAGTGATTGGAGCAGGCTAGGCCCCTGCCTTCAGGGAGCTTGTGTATAGTGGTTGAGACACAGCTGCCATGTCAACATGGCAAGTCATGTCATGAGAAGTGGAGGAATAGAGAACGGGGCAGGATGGGGAGACAGAAATGGCTGGGGCCATCTATGAGGAGGGATCATGTGGGCGAACCTTGGAGCCATGAGCAGGAGCTGGCAGATAAGCCTGAGGCATAGGCGTTCCAGACAGAGGGCAAGCAAGTGCAAAGGCCCCGAGGGAACGGGCTCGGCTGGTTCAAGAAAGGGCTGGAGAGAAGTGACCTGGCAGAGGAAAATGAAAGGCAGTGATGGGGCCAGACCCTGCAAGACCCTGTCTGGGATAAGGAGTTGGTGTTTGACTCTGAGAGCCACGGAAGACCCTCAGGGTCTCAGGCAGTGGCACAGAGAAATCATTTAGCCTTTGGCTCCTGCAGCCCCACAGATCTTCCTCGAGAGAGCTCGTGGCTTGTTGGTCACAGGCCCAAGCCAGGTTAAAAAGGAACGCACGGCATTTGGACTCTGTCTCCATCTCAGCCGAACCTGGCAAGATGTGCCCGTGCAGGCCCGAGTCGGGGTCTGGCTTCCAGTCTAGAGCAAGTGCTATTCCTCCCGCATGAGCCTCAGGCCGGGTCGGCCCGGCTGCCCTCCCTGCATCTTTCACTCTCTCCTGCCTCTCTCTCTTTCTCTCTCTCTCTCTGTGCAGATATTGTGGGCACTCTGAGGCCAGATGAGAAGGCCATCATGACTTACGTGTCCTGCTTCTACCACGCTTTCTCGGGGGCTCAGAAGGTGAGCTGGGGCAGGCGCGCCCCCCCTGCTGGGTGCTCACCTGCCTTCACCCTCGTGCTGGTGTCGCCACCATCCATCTGCGGCTGGAGTCCTGGCCAGGCTGCGGCCCCCCGCACCATGCGAACCAACCTTGTCGGGCTGTGCCTCGGAAGGGTCACCTGGGGCAGGCTTCCCTTCTGGCTGGTGCTGGGCCTGGTGCCAAGGCGCCAGGCGTTCTGTTTGAATGCAGCCCACCCTGGGAGGTGCACGGTGGCACCCCAGGCTCTGAGACAAGGAGACTGAAGCCCAGCATCACAGGGGATGGCAGAGCTAGGATCTGACCCAGCTGTTCTGGTCTGCCCCAGCTGTCCTGGTCTGCCCCAGGGCTGCCTGCCTGCTCTGTCCTCTCACAGGGAAGCGTGGGGCTTCTCTTCACTCCTGGCAGCTCCCTTTCCCTCCTACACCTCCAGGAAAGGCTTGGCACGAGCACCTGGACCTCCCCTCTGGGGCTGTGCCTGTGGACCGGGCTCTCCTGGCCCTTGGACCCCCAGAAGCCAGGCAGGGCAGTCAGAAACACTGGTTCCCAGTGGTGGCTCTCCTTGAGCCTGGACCCTCTGTTCCCTCCAGTTACCTCTTGGTCTCCGAAGTATCTTGGGTCACACTCCTGATTGTTTAATTTTGTATTGCCTATTGGCAAGGATGCAGAGAGAAGGGGGAGAATCAGTTTTTGTTTCCTGAGCACATACTACATGCTAGGTACTCTCCAAGGACATCACAAGCCCAGGCTCCAAGAACATCCTGCCTGTGCCAGGGAGGGCGAGGTGCAGCTAACACCATTTAAAAGATGAGCTGAGAGAGGCAGAGAGCCGTTCCTAAAGTCCTAGGACTGGGCTGCACCCCTGCTCCCATGGTTGCCCTTAGAGCTCTGTGTCCAGCAGGCGCGTTTCCCCTGGGCAGTCTGGCCTGACCCGCCCTGCCTCCTTTTGGCAGTGTGGCCTTGGTAAGTTACCTAATTTCAGTTTCTCCATTTGTGAAATGGGGATCACACTGGTTGATACTGCCTCACAGGGTTGTTCTCGGAGTGAACAGAGCTCCTGCAGGTGAGGGACTTAAAACAGCGCCTGCACAGCAGTACACAGGGAATCAGTGGCCTGCGGGGTTGCCCTGCCCAACCTGCAGGCAGACACATTTCATGGCCTCCTCACCTCCCACCCGCATGTGATTTTTTGGAGTGTTCTGCTGGAGGGCTCAGGCAGGAAGGGTGTGGGGAGGCCAGTGGGGATGGGCAGTGCTGGAAGATTCCTCACACAAACTCCACTAAACAGCATGTTTGCTGTTGGACTTGCTGCTCGGGCCCAAGTCAGCCACCCTGCCTACCATATTTTCCTTCCCCCCAAACTACCCCTCTGTGCTTAGAGCCCAGTTCCAGTGTGGTGGCAGAAGGGAGGTCCTGAGGGATTTGTGGGAGTGGGTACTGGCAGGCATCTGGAGGTTTTAGGGGTAGCCGGGTCCAGAAGGCTTGTTCCCGGACCCTCTCGAGAGGGAGGAAGTGAAGTCCAGGCTCCCGGGGCTGGCCCTGCTTCAGCTTCTCCAGCTGCAATCCCAGCTCCCCCAGCTTGCCTCCTGGGGTTGCCTGTGGAGCTCTTCTTATCGCTGCTGTTGTTTCCCCAGAGACTCAATCCAGCCTCTTGAAGGCTGCTCTTCAGGGTTTATTTTGACTTTTAAATGCAGGTTCTGCCCTGTCTGCCTGACAGCTGACTTCTAGTCACTGAAGCACTCCCTCCTTGTTCCTGTATTTTCTCACCCATTCGTCAGACCTGAGCACCTACCACACACTAAGCCTGAGGTGGATGCCAGGACTCTGGTGAAACTAAACCCTTGCCCGGCAGCCACACGGCAGCAGAGTGGGTTTTAGTTTTGGGTGCCAGTTGTCTGCCAAGCTAGGGGGTGACCTCCACAAACTGCTGTGGCTGTGCTTTCTGCACTTATTTGGGGCCAAGGAACCTCCTGGCCCTCACGTCTGAGGAGCACTGCTGGGGCCCCGGGTCTGTCCACAGCGTGATGTGGTGTGTGCTCACACAGGCCTCGGCTGCCCCTCCCGCCTGTCTCCAGGTGCTGTGTGTGAGGGGCACTGGGCGGCGGGCACCTGTAGGGCCAGCTCTGAGCCACCTCCCAAGCCTCTCCGTTTTCCTTCCCCATCGCTCTGTAGACCCTCCTCACTATTTCTGTTCCTGTTCTGTTGCCGTTTCAACTCCTCCTCTTGGACCCTTTCTGTGCTTCCTGAAAGGTACCTGGTCTCTCCTCTCCCCGTGTGCCCACCCTCCCAATGCTTCACACTCCCCAGCAGGGCGAGGCAGGACTTTCTCCTGTAGTTCTGGGCCAGGGACTGTCTCTGCACCCTAGAGCTCATGAGTCCCGCTCCCTTCTGCCCCTTAGATTGTGATTTCTGCCCATTGTGAGCTCCTGCTAACACCCACCTCTGAGGGCAGGAGAGAGAAAGGGGCCAAGGCACCTCTGCACATGGCTCACCAGGCTTCTCTGGGGCCACCAACACCCTTGCTCCACAGTTCCTCAGGTCTTCCCACCAAGAAGAGACTCCTTCAGGGTCTCAGGCCCAGCCTGACCACCCTCCTTTGTGTGAGGCACCCGAGAGCTTACTAGCAGCAGCAGGGGCTCCCCAACCCTACTCACTGCCTCTAAGTCTGGGCCGAGAGGGCTAAGGGTACCTGGTCTATCTGGGCTGAGAGCATTTTGTAGTAAGTGGCGCCAGTGCCGACAAGACCTGTCAGACATGGCCACTCAGGGCACCATCTGCTGGGGCTGTGCTTCCTCTCCTTCCCCTTCTTGGGGAGTTCTGTGTGGGCCATGGACTAGCTGCTTTCAGGGGCCCTTCCTGTCAGGAGGAAGGGTCACCAGCCTCCAGGCAGCCCTGACTGTGTGCTTCCTCTGCCCAGGCTGAGACTGCCGCCAACAGGATCTGCAAGGTGCTGGCAGTGAACCAGGAGAACGAGCACCTGATGGAAGATTACGAGAGGCTGGCCAGTGATGTGAGTGTTCACTCCCCACCCTGGTGGCCACCATAGCTGTTGGGTGGGCTCACCTCTTTTTACCTTTGGTCCGAGATCACAGGTCTGGCAGCAAGACCTCCTACAAAAGGCTGGAAGGGTCAGACTGGCGGTCACCGTGCCAGCCAGCTCCTGGATTCCCAAGCTTGGGTTTCTATAGAGATGCTCAAGGACAGAGATTCCTGAATGCCTCATTGCTTTAGAGTAACCTGGGAAGCTTTTTAAAACTCTGTTCCCATGAACTCCCCTAGAGAGACTAGGGATGGAGAGGTACCGGAGCTGACAGGATGGCAGGCAGGACACAAGTCTGTCATGCAGGCCCTGTGCAAGCACGTTATGAGCAGGGCCTGTCTGTTCAGTCTCCACTGAACTCACATTACCCGCCCCTCTTTCCGAGCGAGGAAACTGGGGCCCAGGAAGGGCCTGGCATGTGTCCGCCGTGAAACAGCCGGCGGGACAGAGAGCTGTGGTCAGACCCAGGCAGCCCCGCTCCAGAGGCTGAGCCTGATGCGTCTTTTGGGATTATGGGTGGTTGTGCATCTCTTCTGGATTCTCTTCTTTATTTTTAAAATCTCCATCCGTAAAGGTAAAAGCCGGCCAGGTGCAGTGGCTCATGCCTGTAATCCCAACCCTTTGGGAGGTGGAGGTGAGAGGATTGCTTGAGCCCACGGTTTCAAAACCAGCTGGGCAACTTGGCAAGACTGTGTCTCTACAAGAAATCAAAAAATTAGCCGGGCATGGTGACACATACCTATAGTCCCAGCTATATGGGAGGCTGAAGCGGAAGGACTTCCTAAGCCTAGCAGGTTGAGGCTGTGGTGGCCATGAGTGTGCCACTGCACTCCAGCCCGGGTGACAAGTGAGACTCTGACTCAAAAAAAAAAAAAAAGCAAAAGCCATCCAAACCCCCAAAGAGCAGTGACTGCTCTTCTAGAACCAGTGGTTCCCAGACTTAGAGATTTCATGGGCCAGGAAAATTAGCAAAAGTATTTGATGGCCAGCCTACAGTGGCCAACTTTTTATTTTGCCAAGTTAAGGCTATTATAAAAAGAAAACTCTGCCATCTGTTACCACCATCATTTCTCACACCAAGACAAGGTAAAAAAAGCCTATGTTCTTAGAACCCAGCCATTGCCAAGAACGGGCAGTTGGCATCATGAGGCATATATACACACATCGATATTTTTGTCCTTGGTTTTCTCACTTTACCAGAAGTTGACATTTGGGAACCACTTCTCCATACATGTTCGTGCTAGAAAATAACTGATTTTACTCTCCTCAGATTATTCTACAGTGTTCAATTTGTTTGCTTTTTTTTTTTTTCTTATTGTGGTCTCACTCTGTTGCCCAGGCTGGAGTGTGGTGGCACAGTTATGGCTCACTGCAGCTTCAGTCTCCTGGGCTCAGGCAGTCCTTCTGTCTCAGCCTCCCAAATAACCGGAACTACAGGCGTATGCCACCATGCCTGACTCATTTTTTAATTTTTTTGTAGGGAGGAGGTCTCGCTATGTTGTTCAGGCTGGTCTCGAACTCCTGGGCTCAAGCATTCCTCCCACCTCAGCCTCCTAAAGTTCTGGGATTACAGGCGTGAGCCTAGTCTCGATTACTTGTTGGTGCCTTTCCCTTACTCCATCAAAAATCTGAGTAGCTCCTAAAAATACATGTTAGTTTCCTTTTTTGCTTTTATCTTCCCATTTATGTGCCAGGCCCTGTGCATGCGCCAGCCACCCTACAGTGAGTCAAGCGTGCTTGTTGGCCTTGCCCTTGAGGCACCTAGTGAGCCCAGAAACAGTAAGGGTCTCATCACAGAGCTCAGGGAAGATGGCAGCAACGGGCCACGAGAGGGTGGGGGGAGGTGTGAGTTGAGGCTGCCTCACTTAGATCTTAGGAAGACTGAGCAAAGGAATGAACAGGAAGTAACCAGAGGACAGCACAGCAGTTTGGGAGAAGGCACACATTCCCAGAATTCCAGGCTGTGGGAAGTCAGGCTGGTGAGCTGGGGCAACCCCCAAGACGTGCCCACAAAGATTCAGATCCCATGCGCCCTTAAGCTGGAGGGCAGTCCTGCCAGCACCCTGAGGCACCCCGCCCTATGAAGGCTTCTCATGGGCCCCCAGCTCCTGGAGTGGATCCGGCGCACCATTCCTTGGCTGGAGGACCGCGTGCCTCAAAAGACCATCCAGGAGATGCAGCAGAAGCTGGAGGACTTCCGTGACTACTGGCGCGTCCACAAGCCTCCCAAGGTTCAGAAGTGTCAGCTGGAGATCAGCTTTAACACACTGCAGTCCAAACTGCATCTCAGCAACAGCCTGCCTCTATGCCCTATGAGGGCAATATGGTCCTGGACACCAACAACAGTGGGCTATGAGGCCTACAAGGACTGGCTTCTGAATGAGATTTGCAGGCTAGAGCAGTTCAATCACTTGGCAGAGAAGCTCTGGCAGAAGGCCTCCATCCATAAGACCCACAGGAAGGAAGCCACACTGAAGCACCAGGACTATGAAATAGCCACCCTGTCAGACATCAGAGCCCTTATCCATAAGCATGAGGACAGTGACTCATGCACACACCAGAACTCTGAGAAGCAGATACAGGCTCTGAGAGTGAAAAAAACTCAAATTGGACCAGATATGATGGCTCACACTTATAATCCCAGCACTTTAAGAGGCCAAGGCAGGAGAATCACTTGAACTCAGGAG